GAACCTAAATATATATAGACCAGCAAAGTATTGATATGTTTGCGGATGTTTTAAACTATTCAATAAACTTGTCTCACTGCACACTCGTGAACCGCACCAATTTATATTGTTACGGGGGAAAATGTTATGAGGACTATATTACTTTTTTACTTATTTACATGGGCGAAGTATACGCAATAAAAATGACCCCTGTAAGAATTTACTACTGACATTTTACACGGTTGCCGCTACCGTTTAGTTCAATTTGTAGATTAATCACCTTTAATTGAAATCTGTCCGACTATAGTTTAAGAAACAGTTGCTAACCATTTCTTCTCTGTACCAGGTAGTGGCTAATCTGTTATCGGGTGTGCGAATAATTCGCATATCTAAAAACGGGATACTGTTATCAACCTCCAATTCACACTAACACTAACTAATTCGACTAACGTCCCACAAAAGCGACATTAGGATTTCAAAACCATCCTGTGCCCTTGTACAACATGCCATTTCAACCAAACACAGTATCGACTTCACGAATACCAAAATACTGTGCAAACAAAATAATTATCATAAGCGTTCCATAAATTCTTAAACATCCATCGTCCCTAAATAAGAGAACCGACATCAACAACTTGAGCCAGATATATCACCCTCTCATCATACATAACAAATAAAAAAAACCACGTATAAGACAGTAACGTCATTCCCATTCTTCTTTCCTTTTTTTTGTTTTGATTGTTTGTTTTTTAAAGTTAAAGGAAAAAAAATTAATCCTTTTTTAAAAATAGGTCTGTCTCCGTTCCGTTTACTAACTCCCTTAATAATTGTACCTCCCTGCTTTCCAAAGAAACATATGTAGGACACAAGCCACATGTGTAATGACATCCTAAAACCGATAGAAAACAATCGAAGAGATTAGTGTGGCGTCGAAAGAGCTTAAACCAACATCCAGATGAAGCCATCGGTCAAAATTAAATAAACAATAGTGTTCTTACAGTTTTTCTTGTGTTTTTTTTTGTTTCGTTTCTTTCGTTTAGTTGTTAAGTTTTAATGTTAAGTTATCGTAGAGTTTTTATAACATCTAAAAAAACCTACAAATTGTTTTTGTAAGTATGAACCCTTTTGGTTGTTTACTTATATTTTAAATCTTCTTATTTTTATTTGTAGTGAACTGATGATGCTTTTAAAAGTAAGAACACTATTGTTTATTTAATTTTGACCGATGGCTTCATCTGGATGTTGGTTTAAGCTCTTTCGACGCCACACTAATCTCTTCGATTGTTTTCTATCGGTTTTAGGATGTCATTACACATGTGGCTTGTGTCCTACATATGTTTCTTTGGAAAGCAGGGAGGTACAATTATTAAGGGAGTTAGTAAACGGAACGGAGACAGACCTATTTTTAAAAAAGGATTAATTTTTTTTCCTTTAACTTTAAAAAACAAACAAAACAAAAAAAAGGAAAGAAGAATGGGAATGACGTTACTGTCTTATACGTGGTTTTTTTTATTTGTTATGTATGATGAGAGAGTGATATATCTGGCTCAAGTTGTTGATGTCGGTTCTCTTATTTAGGGACGATGGATGTTTAAGAATTTATGGAACGCTTATGATAATTATTTTGTTTGCACAGTATTTTGGTATTCGTGAAGTCGATACTGTGTTTGGTTGAAATGGTATGTTGTACAAGGGCACAGGATGGTTTTGAAATCCTAATGTCGCTTTTGTGGGACGTTAGTCGAATTAGTTAGTGTTAGTGTGAATTGGAGGTTGATAACAGTATCCCGTTTTTAGATATGCGAATTATTCGCACACCCGATAACAGATTAGCCACTACCTGGTACAGAGAAGAAATGGTTAGCAACTGTTTCATAAACTATAGTCGGACAGATTTCAATTAAAGGTGATTAATCTACAAATTGAACTAAACGGTAGCGGCAACCGTGTAAAATGTCAGTAGTAAATTCTTACAGGGGTCATTTTTATTGCGTATACTTCGCCCATGTAAATAAGTAAAAAAGTAATATAGTCCTCATAACATTTTCCCCCGTAACAATATAAATTGGTGCGGTTCACGAGTGTGCAGTGAGACAAGTTTATTGAATAGTTTAAAACATCCGCAAACATATCAATACTTTGCTGAGAGAGAGAGAGAGAGAGAGAGAGAGAGAGAGAGAGAGAGAGAGAGAGAGAGAGAGAGAGAGAGAGAGAGAGAGAGAGAGAGAGAGAGAGAGAGAGAGAGAGAGAGAGAGAGAGAGAGAGAGAGAGAGAGAGAGAGAAGAGAGAGAGAGAGAGAGAAAGAGAGAAAGAGAAAGAGAGAGAGAGAGAGAGAGAGAGAGAGAGAGAGAGAGAGAGAGAGAGGTGATTGGTGGAAATACGTATAAGCGGATACAGATGCACTTTACGTGAAATCAAATCTTAATTTATTAAATAGTCGTGAGGTTACACATACGTTTGACTTTACAAAACGCACAATTTAAAATTTCTTAAAAAAAATTGTTACTTAATATTATTATCAGGTTTGGTTGATTATGATACATTGTACATCTCTATTAATTTATATTTAAATATTTATTTCATTTTAATTTCTTTATTAATTTATTTATCTTCAGTTAATTTTTACTATCTTTTTTATTTAAAAAATAGTTGGCGCCCTCTCTGTCCCTTTATATTTCGTCCCCTGTTTTCATTTCTTCCTCTCTCTTTCTGTCACGTAGAATAAATATTCGCCCTCTCTCTTTGTGTTTTGTGTTGACAGACAAGTTAGTTTCGTGAAATAGCAACATCCTATGACATCTGTGCTAACTTCAAGTAGTTTCCCACTTTCTGTCAAAACAACTTCTAACGTGGTGGGATTATTTTTTGTCTGATTTTGACTTTATAAAAGAAGGCAAAATTTATAATTAGACTCATTTTATGGTCTACTAATTCTCTTGGGGTAATTACTTTCATTGTCATATTTATTCTATAATTCTGACCACATTTCCGACACTTCTAACCTTACTTTCTTTCCAAAACACATTGGTTTTTTTTATATATTCATTAGGACTCTAACAGAATTTAACTAACAATCATATTTCATTTTATCCTTGCCATTTCTGTATTTGTAACTTTGTAAGATGGCAAGGAAGTTAAACTTTTTCCTTGATGTGTGTCTAATGGAAAACTATTAATTTTGTTTTAGTTTATTGGAAATATCGGGAATATACCCTTTCATTAGGAGTGTTTAAAACAATTCAATATGTAATACCAAGCAATATCTCCATTTTACTGGAATTGTTGACCACATAGGACCACGTGTAACTGCAGTTCTCCAACCAACAACATTCCATTGGAGGACCTAGCAGCTAGGACACACAAGTAGCCATCAAACAAAGCAATAAGTATTGCATTAATTGTTAAGCTTTGGCAGGGTTATTATTATTTGGCTCTATTATTGTTTTTTTTTAAATAAGTATGTTTGGTTAAAATTTGTTTTATTTGCTATCAACTGAGAACTTAAGACAAGACGAACTCACCCTTGAGATACTGAACTAGGCAAGGTATAGACCATAAGCTCCCATGGTTGATTGAAGTATTATTTTCACAATATTACTTCAATTCTCTTTGGTAGTCTTATCGTTACACATTGGCGCCCAACGTGGGGCACGAATGTGTAACGATAAGCTCCCCTGGTTGATTGAAGTATTATTTTCACAATATTACTTCAATTCTCTTTGGTAGTCTTATCGTTACAAAATATATGAATTAGTATACAGTTCTTTTATGTGGTAAGCAAATCCAGTAACAATGGTTTTTATTATTAATTTGATTGTCGATGAAAAAACTTAGTCCAGTCAATTTATCTCAAGAATACATGAATTTTTCTAATGTTGGGATGTCGATAGAAAATGAGATTATGATGTTATGTCAAATGTTTGTTGATATGTTAATATGTAACAATACATTTTAATTAATTTGTCAATATCCGATTTTTTATTTATACATTTTTTATTCTGTATATGTGTCATTTCTAAAAATAACTGCTTCTAGTTCATTTTCTGACTCCCTAGAATTGAACCTTGTGAAAAACTAAATGTGTGGATTGATGGAGTGGTAGGCTAATGCACTTGTGATTTGTATATTTTTATATCACTTTTGTAAGAAATGATTCCGCTGTGTAATGTACGAGAAGTTTCCTCTATATAAAACCTTATCACTGCCTGAGCAAGCTATTTAATACACTACTTTGGAACTTAGTGTATAAATGTGCTATGGTTTTAACATTTCTAGTGGCAAAGTTTGAAGAGACTAAAAACATACTAATGGAAGACTCTTATCCCGTAGGCCTACTTAATAAATTAATTTTTAGTACTGCAAACTCTCCAGCCTCCATCACATTGATTGGCAATACCAACAATAAAAACCAAATCACAGTAAAAACGCCAAACCAAGAAATAAACAATAGCTCGACAGTTAACACCTTAGTACCAACAACACCACAAACTTTTGAATCTGTACCTTATATTCGATTCTAACACCGAAACTTCTCAAATTATTTAAAGGATTAAAAAAGACACTTAGATTTAAACAAAACAATCACCAAAGATGAAAAAGTCAAAATAAATGTAACAGACATGAAGATAATCTAAGAGGTGAAATAAGAAAGTATACATTTCGTGTCACTTTTATCAAATACCAAAAGACACATTTATCAGAAAGTTATGTAAAATAACTGTAGATACAATAAACATTTTACACTTAAAAGCGTAATCATAGAAAAATGTTGGCAAATTTGAGATTAATAAACTAACAAAGGATCATTAGATCATTTTAAATATTTTGCTATAAAATTTGCAACCTTCAGATAAAAAAATGAACTATTTATATCACAGCCTATTGTTTTTTCTTGATACTGTCTATTATTTTAAATTCACTCTCAATTTCTCGGCAAAACCGACAGTATGTTAGAATATCACTGCGTTTGGGCGGGATCCTTCATATTTCCGTTTTTAGATGGCATATAATAAAACAAAAGTAACAACTAATGTACATTTATTAATTTAATATCTGATCGACCGATGCATACATGCATGCTAAGATCAAAAAAATCTCAGCATTAAATTAAAATTAAAAAATCTGAACAAACAAGTACAATGAGTTTGGGACTTAAATAATAGGTTACATACACATAAAAATAGTATCACTGCGAGGGCTTCTCCTTATAAAAAAATAAATAAATAAAATACTTTCGAACTTGGTTTAGAAATTTCGAAAAAAGAAATAAACAATGGTGCTCCACGATTTTTTATAAAAGTGTTAAGTGATCAAAGCGGTCATACAGTTATATGAATGTTCACATAACAGTTAAAGTATTATCAATTTAGTACTTAATGGAAGACCAAGATTTTGATATAAAAATCATATTGAACATTTAGTGAAGCATTTTCCATTGCCAATTCACATAAATGAGCGTTGAACTAAAATGGGTTTTGGGAAAATATTTATTATGATAAAAAAATAGAAAGAATATTTATTGTCTAATGAATTAAATGGTTTAAGTACCTTGTATTTGATTAATTATATTCAGATACTATTTTGCTTTGAACACCTACATAAAAAAATCCTGTAAGTGACGAGACAAAAATATAAAAACTTACGAATTGAAAGCCCCGCCACAACACCATACAAATTATGCCTTTATAAGGAACCGGATTAAGGTCTTGTAACAAACAACAAATATAAAAAATAACACAATATTGCAATCTGAGCCAGTTCCTAGAATTAAAAAAAAACAAAAGTAATAAATATGTAGGACACCACATATTTTAATTTATTTTGGCCCTCTCTCAAAATATCTCATAACAAAACATTTTAAACGTGCGCTGTCCTTTTTATTAAACAATGTGTCTACTAGATGAAAGAAACAAAGATATTTGGATAAAACCCCATTGGCAATTTTATAAAGAAAGAAAATAGTGGACTTCCGATTGACAGTATCAACCATTAGTTTTATTCGCTCCGTGCGTGACCATGGTAGGGGTGCATTGAAACGATGCCAGCGTGCGTAGCGGCGAAATATGACAAAATTGGAATATTGGACAAAATATTTTTACGCATAAATTTTATCAAAAATGTGTGGAAATACATGTTGCGTATTTAATTGTGCTAATAATAGCAGAAACAGTAAGTGTAGTTTTTATAGGTTCCCAAAGATTACATATAAATTAGAGAAAAGAAAAAGATGAATTCGTGCTATTAATATGAAAAAGTAAATATGACATAATTTCATTTTTATGCAATTGAAATAGGAAAAATTTAAATAATTTACCTTGAACGATATTTCATAAGGCTTCAAGCTAACTGCAGATGAATTTAGCTTTTATATCATAACTTTTACTATTACTGTTTTTAATTATATGCTCTTTTGCGTGAAAAACTTGATTTGGCAGTACTAGATTTTTTCCTTTCTTTTCCGTTTGGAGTTGAAAAGATATATTATAATGAATTTTGAGAAACCCAGTTTTTAATACTACATTTATTTTGTACATAAACTGAACAAATATAGTTAAAAACTATATTATTAATAATTGTCAATGTCGCATGTATTTAACAATGTCAAACATATGTCATATATTTAACCTGAAAATTGGGACTCCAAAATTGTTAGTTGAAGGCAATAGGTGTCGCGTCAGTCACGCACGGAGCGAATAGCGTTGATCACATAAAAATTAAAATTTGGAATACTTTACGCAGAACAATTAAGACGAAGATTACAATACAGGATAAAATTATAGGAAATTGTTAAAATATGAAGTATTGTTGACTAAAATATATAGACGGAATAGATGTGAAATTTTAACTCTTGGAGGGTCCAGTCCTTATTTGAATAGTGGAAATAGATGAACATCTAAAATCTCACACAAAAGTCGCAGAAAACCTGAATATTAAAAATACATTATAAAATTTACAAATATAAACAATTTTTAATCTAGTAGACATCGACATGTACTTCAATTATTGATTCGTTGACAAGTATTATGAAAAACTATATTAAATTCTAGGAAATCGCCCGTTTTTAAATATTTTTCATTTTCAAACGCTTGAAGGATCGACTGAGTTCAAGTGTTCAACAAGATACCTGTTGTAAGATACATATGGAGTCCTAGTTAGATCGTTATCAGTTAGTATACGCGTTCTGTTGGGTACCACGCCGTCACATCTACCCATCAGCCAATCTGTACACTGCTTCACTTGAATGTCACTAACATGCTCACTGGTCCATTCTTTCAGCCACGAGCGGAAACGACCCGCTTTTTTTTTCGTTACCTGGGGATGAGACTAAAAAAAGTAAATATTAGCTATCACGTAGTATAAAGCATCATAAAATGGTTGTCATAAAAAAGAATAATAGATTTATATATATATATATATATATATATATATATATATATATATATATATATATATATATAGACATAGCAAAAAATACGACCGTTACTTAAAATTTAAAAATTTATAATATATTCAATAATTGAATAGCAGAGGTTGTATCAGTCAATAATTGGCAAATGAAAGTCTTCAACTACTTCATTGATTTATTCGAATACGTTTCGCTTTTATTTTTAAAAGCATCATCAGTTCACTACAAATAAAAATAAAAAGATTTAAAATATAAGTAAACAACCAAAAGGGTTCATACTTACAAAAACAATTTGTAGGTTTTTTTAGATGTTATAAAAACTCTATGATAACTTAACATTAAAACTTAACAACTAAACGAGAGAAACGAAACAAAAAAAACACAAGAAAAACTGTAAGAGCACTATTGTTTATTTAATTTTGACCGATGGCTTCATCTGAATATGGGTGTAAGCTCTTTCGAGGATCCAACACACTAATCTCTACGATTGTTTTCTATCGGTTGTAGGATGTCATATTTGCACATGTGGCTTATGTCGTACACATGTTTCTTTGGAAAGCAGAGAGGTACTAAGGGAGTTAGTACACAGAAGGGTGACAGACCCATTTTTAAAAAAGGAATAATTTTTTTCTTTTTCTTTAAAAAACAAACAAACATAAAAACGCGTTGATTGTTTATCACAAGCATTCTATCCTTAAAATGTGTCAAATTCTTAAACATCCATCGTCCCTAAATAAAAGAACCGACATCGACAACTTGAGCCAGATATATCACTCTCTCATCATACACAACAAATAAAAAAAAACCACTTACAAGACAGTAACTTCATTCCCCTTCTTCTTTCCTTTTTTTTATGTTTGTTTTTTTAAAGAAAAAGAAAAAAATTATTCCTTTTTTAAAAATGGGTCTGTCCCCGTTCTGTGTACTAACTCCCTTAATAATTGTACCTCTCTGCTTTCCAAAGAAACATGTGTACGACACAAGCCACATGTGCAAATATGACATCCTACAACCGATAGAAAACAATCGAAGAGATAAGTGTGTTGGATCCTCGAAAGAGCTTACACCCATATTCAGATGAAGCCATCGGTCAAAATTAAATAAACAATAGTGCTCTTACAGTTTTTCTTGTGTTTTTTTTTGTTTCGTTTCTCTCGTTTAGTTCTTAAGTTTTATTGTTAAGTTATCGTAGAGTTTTTATAACATCTAAAAAAACCTACAAATTGTTTTTGTAAGTATGAACCCTTTTGGTTGTTTACTTATATTTTAAATCTTTTTTTATTTTTATTTGTAGTGAACTGATGATACTTTTAAAAATAAAAGCGAAACATATTCGAATAAATCAATGAAGTAGTTGACGACTTTCATTTGCCAATTATTGACCGATACAACCTCTGCTATATATATATATATATATATATATATATATATATATATATATATATATATATATATATATATATATTTGACAAATGTGTATAAGACAAATAAATGATGCTACAATGTTGAATCTTATATTTATAAAAGAGCGTCCGTCGCGACAAATACAACAAACACGACAAGCGTCAAAGCAAAAATACACATAGCAATAGCAAACAGAACTTATCCATGGAGAATTTACCTATGATGAAATACAACAAACACGACAAGCGTCCAAGTAAAAATACACATAGCAATAGCAAACAGAACTTATCCGTCTTTAGAAAAATCTGGGAAATAACCTAAAACGTATAGTTAAGCTCGACATTTCGATTTTGATTTATCATATGAGGTTAAAGCATGGACTTTATCCCAAACGACACTACATGGTATCTTTAAGAGAAAAATACTTCGAAGAATATTTGGGGCCGAATAAAAATGAGCTGTGGATGAAGATAAAACTTTTAAGTGTACTATACTTTGTTTCAAGTTAAGAAAATAACATTGCGCTTATGGAGATCAGTGTTGCCAAAACTGTCAGGCTTGTTTTGCTATTAGATTGTCAATATGCGATTCATTCTAATCAGAGTCGTATTCAGCACTGTGTAGTTGTAGTTAATTAATTTCACTAATAAAAGGATATATATAGTTGATTACAGAATATTGCATTATAAATACTTGTTTCTTTAATTGACAGATATAGGTACGTAATTATTATAGGTCTACTAAAAATAGTTAAATTTCACTGTTGTTTAGCATAACATATTTATTAACGCTTTAGATAAGATGTAACTAAAAAAAAACAAGTGCAGCTTTAATTTTATTTTCATGTAAGTAATAACAACAATCACATACAAAAAAAAATTCCTTGTATACCGGATGAATCACCACTAACGGAAGATTACAGCGAAAGAGTCAAAAAATTTAAATTATTAGTTTGTAAGTTGATAAAAGCTACATTTTAAAATTATTTTGAAATATACAGGGTATCCCAATAATTTCGGCGTATCAAAGTTATATTTTATCTTCTTATTTTTCTTCCTCTTTATAAGCAATCCCGCTCGTTCATTGGCGGATTGATACGTCTTTGCAAAGTTGTTACTCCATCTTTTGCGCGGTCGGCCGATACTTCTACCGATTAATGATTTATCTCTTGCTATTTTGACCACAGGTGTCTCTCCCATTATGCTTATGTGGTTATTCCATTTTTTTTGTGGTTATTCCATTTTTTCCATATATAGTATATGGAGATATGGAGAGCCAGCAGTGAAGAAGCTAAAGAAATGGACCAACTTAACTGAAAAATTAGCTACAGCAGAAGCAAGAAGAACCTTCCTTTTGGAGTGTAGGAGAACTAAGAGGATTCCAAGATTTATCATAGATACCACTTCCAACATACTTTCATCCACATCAGGTTCCACTAACAGCACACTTTACCGTAGAAGCCAAGCTTTAAACAGACAGGTGAGGGCACGATTACTTAATTTCCATATATCTAAGGTTCACACTGATATTAAGTTTATTATTTCTCAAATCAATAATGTCACTGCTTTTCTTGATGATTACCTTCCTGTCAATTTGTTGGACACTTTTGAGTCATCTTTACATAAGAAATTTAATTTCATTTATCACAAATCCATGGCACACCTTCGCAAAAAATTAAATAATTTAGAAACCCCCCAATTTAAAAAAATTCCATTTAATCCAAAGTGGATTAAAAACTTATCTAATACTGAGGTTCCTCAGGACATACTCAAGTTGTTATCTTTGGGCCCCAAATTTGGCTTACAGCCATCTTACAGAGATTACTCTGTTAGTAGAATCCTAGCAGATGTGAAAAATATTTTGTCACATGCTGACAATTCCGACCTTCTTTCTCTTAGGTCTTCTTTTAATAATATTCTGCTGAATTTCACTAATCGCCCTAGACAGCCCATATCGGAGATAGACAAGATTTATAGGGAGACGGTATCGTTTTTAAAAACCCACCCTAATCTTCTAGTTCTTACTAGTGATAACGGCAATGCCACTGTCCTCATGGAGAGAGAACAATACCTCAGTCTCAGTCAATCATTGTTAGATGATGATAGATATTATCAACCTCTTTCTAACAACCCTTGCTCCAAATTCACTAATAAAATAAATAAATTCATAACTCACTTAAAAAACTTAAAGATCATATATCAACCACTTGCTAAATTTTTGGGATGGATATGCTCCCAGATTTTATTGTCTACCGAAAATACACAAGCCTACATTGAGCATGAGACCTATTGTGTCATCCATTAATTCACCTAATATTAATATTTCAAAATTTTTAACGGACATCTTGTCTAAATCTTATAATTATAACAACAACATTAATATTGTTGATTCTTTTCACTTTAATGAATTTATTAATAACTTTGAAATTCCTCAAGGTTACATTTTAGTGAGTTTTGATGTGGTATCTTTTCACTAATTTACCTCTTTCCAGTGTTATAACTTCCTTAAGAAACCATTTGAATTCCATCCAACCTAACTGTCCTGTTTCCTGGGATGTATTTGCAGAATTGTTGCAATTAGTATTTGACACTAATTTTTTGGTCTTTAATGACAAATATTATCTTCACATTTTTGGCACACCTATGGGTTCCTCTGTCTCTCCCATCCTAGTTAATTTTGTACTAGATGATTTAGTATCTGACCGTTTGGGTCTTTTAGATTTCCAAATCCCTTTTATTAAGCGGAATGTGGATGATTTATTATTAGCCTTACCTCCTGATAAGATACTGATAAGAACTTGAGGACCCCCTCACAAATAGCATTCCCTTCCTAGACATGCGTGTCATTAGAATGGAAGATAACACCTTAACCACAAGTTGGTATAGAAAACCTATGGCCTCTAATAGGTTCCTTAATTACCATTCCTGCCATCCTTTTAAATATAAATTAAACTTAAAGCTTTAAGCTGCAGCCTGAATAGATTGACACATCCGGTTAATCGAAGGGAATCCCTTCAATCACTTAGAAATATTCTCATTGAGAATTCTTATCATTCTTCTCTCATTAACAAATACCTTTTTGTACAAAGCTATGGTTCCTCTTTAAATGACATACCCAATGGTGATCAACTTAAACTAATATCAAATAATTCTTTTAATGACACTGTTCTGCCTGGTACTGACTTGGGACTCCTACCACCCACTACTCGTTACCTTACTTTCCTCACGTTACTGACAAACATATTAAACTGTATAAACAGAAGAACATTCCTGTTAAAATTGCAGTTAAAAATGCCAAGACTGTCAGAAATTTGTTTTCAAAAACCAAAACACCCTTGCCCCTCTGGAACAAGTTAATGTTATTTATCATTTACCTTGTGCTGATTGTGACTCGTGCTACATCGGTCAGACTGGGAGATCACTGAGAGGGCGTCTTACGACACACCGCAGTGATATCAACTTATCTAAGCATACTTGTGCCCTTGCACAGCATGCTATCAACACTACACACAGAG